CATCCGCTGATCTTCTTTCTCTTCCCCCACCCCGCCCCAACTTTCAAGCTGATAGTTCCTCAACCCTGCACAGCTCGCTTCTACCTCCTCCCAAAAATCCACAAACAGGACTGTCTGGGCAGACCCATTGTCTCAGCCTGCTCCTGCCACACAGAGCTCATCTCTTCCTACCTTAACTCGGTCTTCTCTTCCCTGGTCCAATCGCTGCCCATGTACGTCCATGATTCCTCTGACGCCTTACACTGGTTTCAAAACTTCCAGTCTGCCGGTTCCAGCCACCTCGTCTTTCCCATGGACGTGCAATCCCTTTCCATGTCCATTCCTCACCGAGGCGGAGGGGGGGGGGGGGGGATCTTAGGGCTCTCCGCTTCTTCCTGGAGCAAAGCCCTGAACCATCCCTACTCACCACCACTTTCCTCTGCTTGGCTGAGCTCATCCTCACCCTGAACAACTTTGCTCATTTTCTTCAGGGAAGAGGGGTGGCCATGGGTACCCACATGGGCCCTAGTTATGCCTGTCTGTTCATAGGGTACATGGAACATTCCTTGTTCCAGTCCTGTTCCGGACCCCACCAACAACTCTTTTTCCGATACATCAATGATATTATGCTGCTTCCCTCTCTCGTCTGGAATTGGAAAACCTCATCAATTTCGCATCCAATTCCCACCCTGCTATCACTTTCACCTGGTCTATCTCTGACTCTTCCCTTCCCTTCCTCGACATTTCTGGGGATAGACTAGCCACCAGTATACACTAGAACCCATTGACTGCCGCAGCTACCTGGACTATACATCCTCACACCCCACTTCCTGTAAAGACTCCATCCCATTCTCTCAGTTCCTCCATCTCCGTTGTATATGTTCAGATGAGGCCAACTTTGACAAGGGAGCCTCCGAAATGTCCACCTTCTTCCTCAACCGAGGATTCCCCAGCTCCGTTGTCGACAGGGCCCTCATCCAGGTCCGACCGATCTCCCGCAGTTCCACCGTCATCCCTTCTCTTCCCTTCTGCAACAGCGATAGGGTTCCCCATATCCTTACCTACCATCCCACCAGCATCTACATCCAGAAGATGACTAGACGCCATTTCTGCCACCTCCAGCGAGATGCCACTACCAGACACATATTCCCCTCCCCTGTCCGCCATCCATTTGGGACACCCTGGTCCACACTTTCTTCATGTCTAGCGCACACACACACACACACAGCCTCCCCCCCCCCCCCCCCCCCTTCTTGCTCTCGCTCACGCTCGTACTCTCAGCCCTACGGCAACTTCCTCTGTAACCGGCAAAGGTGCAACACCTGCCTGTTTACCTCCTCTCTCCCCAGTATCCAAGGGCCCAGACATACCTTTCAGGTGAAGCAACACTTCACCTGCACTTCCCAGAATCTAGTCTACTGCATTTGCTGCTCGCAATGTGGTCTCCTGTACATTGGGGAAACGAAGCGTAAAGACTGGGTGACTGCTTCACAGAACATCTACGTTCTGCTCTCAAAAAAGACACAACTGCCTGTTGCCTGCCACTTTAATGCACCAGCCTGTTCCCTGGCCAACATCTGTCTCTGGCTTGCTGTAGTGCTCCAACGAAGTACAATGCAAGCTGGAAGAACAACACCTCTTCATTTTCCATTGGGGACCCTGCAGCCCTCCGGACTCGGTATAGAGTTCAATAACTTTAGGGCCTCAACTCTCCCATGTCCCAGCCCCCTATCCCACACACCAGGCCTTGTTACCACATAGCCTGCCATTACACGTCGCCTGTTGTCAGTGACTAACCATCCCCATTAACAACTATTCACCCTTCCACAGATAGTAAGAACTGCCAATGCTGGAGTCTGAGATAGCAGTGTAGAACTGGAGGAACACAGCAGGCCAGGCAGCATCAGAGGAGCAGGAACGCTGACGTTTGGAGTCAGCACTCTTCTTCAGAAATGGAGGAGGGGAAGGGGGCTCTGAAATAAACAGAGTTGGGGGGGTGAGCTGGGGAAGGTAGGTGGGTTGGTGACAGGTGAGTGCAGGTAGGCAGTGGTGGGGATTGGTCAGCAAGGTGGGAGGAGCGGATAGGTGGGAGAGAAGACAGACAGGTCAAGGAGGTGGGGATGGGAGGGAGGCCAGGGTTGGGGAGATTTTTAAGCTGGTCAAGTCCACATTGAGACCATTGGGTTGTAGGCTCCCAAGGCAGAATATGAGGTGCTGTTCCTCCAGTTTCTGGGTGGCATCATTGTGACACTGGAGGAGGCCCAGGATGGACACGTCGCCCGGGGAGTTGAAGTGGTTCGCGACTGGAAGGTGTTGTCGTTTGTCGCGAACTGAGTGCAGGTGCTCTACAAAGCAGTCTCCGAGCCTTCGTTTGGTCTCATCGATGTAGAGGAGGCCACATTGGGAACAGTGGATACAATAAGACCACATTGGCAGATGTGCAGATGAACATCTGTCTGTGGAAGGTTTTTTTGGGGCCTGGGATGGAGGTGAGGGGGGAGGTGTAGGGGCAGGTGTAGCACCTCCTGAGGTTGCAGGGAAAGGTGCCGGAGGTGGTGGGGCTACTGGGGAGTGTGGAACGGACGAGGGAGTCGCGGAGAGCGCGGTCTCTCTGGAAGGCAGGTAAGAGTCGGGAGGGAAATATATCCTTCTTAGTGGGGTCAGATTGCAGGTGGCAGAGAATGATGAATTGAATCCAGAGGTTAATGGGGTGATACGTGAGGACAAGGGGGTTTCTGTCTTTGTTTATATTGTGGGGAGGGGATGTGAGGGCAGAGATGCGAGAAACGCAAGAGATGCGGTCGAGGGAATTTTTGCCGCACGCAATAAAAACAAAGATAGAATCCACCTTGTCCTCACGTATCACCACATTAACCTCCGGATTCAACGTATCATTCTCCGCCACTTCTGCCACCTGCAATCTGACCCCACTACGAAGGATGTATTTCCCTCCCCACCCTTACCTGCCTTCCAGAGGGACTGCTGTCTCCAGGTCTCCCTCATCCGCTCCACACTCCCCACCATCCTGGCACCTTTTAACTGCAGGAGATGCTACACCTGCCCCGACAACTCTCCCCTCACTTCCATCCCAGGCCCCAAAACAACCTTCCGCATCAAACAGATGTTCACTTGCACATCTGCCAGTGTGGTCTGTTGTGGCCTCGTCTACATTGGTGAGACCAAGCAGAGGCTCGGAGACTGCTTTGTAGAGCACCTAGAGACAAACGACAACACCTTCCAGTTGTGAACCACTTCAACTCCCCTCCCACTCCCTAGACGACATGTCCACCCTGGGCCTCCTCCAGTGTCACAACATCGCCACCCAGAAACTGGAGGAACAGCACCTCATATTCCCCCTTGGGAGCCTACAACCCAATGGTCTCAATGTGGACTTGACTAGTTTCAAAATCTCCCCACCCCCAGCCTCATCCCATGACCAACCCTCCTTCCCCCTCGCACTCACCTATTGCCATTCCACCTACCTTCCCCAGCCCCTCTTATCCACGCCTCCTTGACCTGTCCGTCTTCTTTCCCACCTGTCCGCTCCTCCCACCTCACTGACCAATCCCCACTAGTACCTACCTGCAATCCCCTATCACCAGCCCACCTACCTTCCCCAGCCTGACTCCTCGCCTCTCCAATTATTTCAGAGTCCCCTTTCCCTCCCCCATTTCTGAAGAAGGGTCCTGTCCTGAAACACCAGCTTTCCTGCTCCTCTGATGCTGCCTGGCCTGCTGTGTTCCTCCAGCTCCACACTGTATTATTCACCCTCCCCGCCTGATTGTTATCAACTCTTCATCCAACTGCTCTTCTCTCTCTTTAGGGTCTATCCTATCATTTACTCTGTACCCCACCCACCTCCGTTTTTTTCTGCACATAAACTGACGTTTTCCCAGCTGCCATCAGTTCTGACGAAAGGTCACCAGACCTGAAACATTAACTCTGTTTTTTCCTTCGCAGATGCTACCTGACCTGCTGAGGTTTTCCAGCAACTTTGTTTTTGTTCTGGCTAAATGATTTCCTGTTTGACAGTGTCCAGGCAAGATCACCAGAGAAATAACTGCACAAGTTCACTCTCTTTTCCCTTATTTGTTTGGATACGTGGAGTACTGGAACTAATTGTAACATCCTAATTTTGACACACATTACTATTTAACTCCAAACCAAGCAAATATCTACTGTGACCATATTGGCAGTGAGATTTTCTAGTGTCGTTTCAACTTCTAACACGTGAAAGTTCAAAACTGAACAGAACCATCACTAAAATTTTGGCATCACTGTATAGGAGCAAGATCTGAGACCATTTTGGTCTGTGTGGTTGGAGTAGTATATTTGAATAATTGCACAATGGAGCAATTGAAATCCCCCGAGTCCTCTCCATTAGCAACTTCAGTCTGAACTGCTGAGAGATGGGTCTCGAGGAAGATTGGAGTTGATTTTCTTTTCCTTGTCTTATTCTAATTTTGGTTCAAATTCTGTAATCTCTGAGATTCCACTTGTTGAATCTTTATCTTTAAGAACTAATCAAAGCACACAGCTGTTAAGCAGGGTCTGCTGGCCATTTTGAAGGATAAAATGAGGAACAGATCACGAAAAAGAAAGCTCATGACAAAAACGTGGCAGTGTCTTGAAGGAATGAGCAAAGAGGGGGATAAAGAAACTTCACTTGAACATAATTTTACTATATAGAGAACTATGAGAGAACTTGCTCCTTTTCTCAGGAAATCATTTTACTTGGGTGGAATCAAAAGTGGCTTAGATTTTTGCCTGTCAGGCTGAGATAATGGCTTCAGTTCTGAGGATGTATGCTAGGCATTAATGTCTTTACGCTTTACAAATACTAATTAACATACTGTATAAACTTCCAGTATTTCATACTTGTTTCAGATTTCCAACAATGTTTGGTTTTTTTTGAGTATCTGATTAGCTGTGAATTGGACATTGTCACAGCTTATTTAACCTTCTCGGTGTTTTTGTGATGGTTACCATTGCTTCAAGAAAAGTCTCTTTTTTTTTTTAAAGCTTAAAACAAGACAACGAGATCAGGAGCGAGTATTAATTTGGTGCAAGTGAATCTGGTGACAATTAGGAATGGCAAATCGGGGAGGCACAGCGCGACCCAATGGACCAGCTGCTGCTAACAAAATCTGCCAGTTCAAGCTTGTTCTACTTGGAGAGTCTGCTGTTGGCAAATCTAGTTTAGTCCTTCGTTTTGTGAAGGGACAGTTCCATGAATATCAAGAAAGTACTATTGGTGGTAAGTTTTACTTTAATGATTATTTAGTTCAAGGCCTTAGTGCAATTGTATTCAATTAACATGCTTTTCTACTAATCCATGCATTGTGTACTCTGTCTACGTTCCCCTTCACAAATTAACATCTCCATGCTGTTTTCCAAAAGAATGAGGAAGAAAGTAGATCTTTGACTGATAGAAAATTGCTTAAAACCGGTTATTTCAAACTTTTTGACATCATGAGGGTAATACATGATTTCTTGTTTGGAACACAGTTTCCAAGCCAAGATCACCAGAGGAATAAAACCACACTAGTTCACTCTTTTCCTATATAGGTGATATGGAATAGAATTAAGCAAGCAATATGGCCAGTATTCAGGGCGACAAAGAAAATGCTTCGGATACTTGCCTCCTCCAGTAGGCACTGCAGAATTAGTATTAATGACTGGGAGGACCCTGTTGCCTTGTATCCAAAGTAGCAACCACCTGTCCTTCAAGCTGCATCACACATTGACATGATGAGGCAGAGCAGCAGCAGGAAAGGGGAAAAAAAAGAAAGCAAATTCTGCACTCCAGATCTCACTGCCTCATGGGTTGTCCTGCTCCACATGCCCAAAGATGTACAAGTTAAGACTGCCTGTTCAGTCATGTGAAGATCCATGGCAGGATCTCTTGAACTTGAGCAAGCATCATTCTCTAGTAGTAGGACAGCCAATGCCTAACTAAAAAAGGCTGGTGGAGGTGCTGTGTGGGTGTATGTTAGAAAAGGAGTGACAGGCTTATTTTGTTTTTGTTGAAATAAACAAAACTGAGGATCATCTAATAGTGGTCTTAAGTGTGGTTGGCAACCTTCAGTATGAAATAGTCACCAAGAAATCCTGTAGAGAATTCGGAAGAGAAACATCTTTACCCAAAGAACAGTGAGAATATGAAACTTGCAAACATGGAGTGGTTAAGCTATTAATATACGTGCATTTAAGGGGAAGCTGAACAAGCCTTTGAAGGAAGAGAGAATTAATGGTCATGGTGGTAGGTTTAAATGGGGAAGACGGGATGAGGTCTG